AGATCAAGTACATCTGTTTCACCTGGAGGATCACGTCACATTAGGTAAGACTGCTGTCTTTGTTTGCTAAAATAGTTGCCGCGCTCTCTTCTGAATACATCTCTGGTTGCTTGATTTGGTTGTTTGTTCTGTCAGCATGAGAATGTGAACTATCTTGTGGCTCAATTTACAAGATGAAACGAACGGCAAGTATGGCGGCCCTTCCCGCTCCTCCTGCGATGATCCGGATTCTAATAGCTGTACCTCCAGATATATGTACTGGAGGACGTGAGTTGAGCTTTTGGATTATGATGCCAGCTGATTCCACTATTGATGACCTGAAGAAGAAGCTGTGTCGGGAACTTGAGGAGCGCACGGGGATACCTCCTCGTATGAACGCTTTCCAATTATGGCAGTTTGGATACCATTTGCCGTTTACTTCATCGATCTCACGAGTGTCTGCTTTTCCACACGCTGCCCAGCCAGTCCGATTCGTACGAACATGGCCACACGAATCAGTGAGTTGGACTTGAGACGTTCATGCGACAATGAAACAAATGAAGCTTTTTGCCATGTGATCTGAAGAGCGTATTGTGAGTGCTTTGCCCATAGATCGCTGCCGAGTTTGTTGTCGCATTACACAAGGGATGTGAGCTCGAGCTTTCTTGAAGTCTTAGGCTTGAGTAGAGGTAAGCTCTGCGGTGCCATGTGGGAGCTCTCCATGTTGAACGACAAAATGCTGCAGTTTGTCAGCACCAGACGTCATATCATCTTCTTCTTCACCTTTCCTTCATCAGACCCGCTTGAGCCTTTGGATGTTACTCTTCGACGACATGGGTTCTATGCCATGCAGGATCTTGAGCAATTTGTTACCCAATGCAGAACAGAAGGTCTGGATTTTCGCGCCGAGGTCTGGGAGTTTTTCATTCAAGGACCATCAGTATATACGCCACTTACTTGTGAAGCTCGAGCGCTACCTCATGTCGTGGTGTATGCGTCCGTATGCAGAGAATGGTATTACTCAGTTATTCGATTGCTTGGCAACCGCAGCTTTATCAATATTCAACAGCTCCGGCGTCTCGCCCAATTACGTCATGCAACGGTGGAGTGGATTCACCATCCAAACGAAGACAGACTACGTATTGGGCCCGCGTTCATTAACGATTTCAGTATGTGCCGCCTTGTTCCGCCATTGTAAAGGTTTGAGCGGAGCTTGACACGCTAATGTGACAAAGGAACAAATGCAGCGCTCTGACATGTGCTCTGATGAACGTCTTGTGAGCGCTCTGATCATAGATTGCTGCAGGAAGTGACGATACGAGACTGCACTTTTTGCCCCCTTGGGGGCCTGTTTGTGTTATCCTGCTGTACATGCGAATTTCTGCATTCATGACGGTTTTTTCATGCATTACAATCTTCTTTCTTTTTCGTCAAATGCAGGGGGCGCGAGGTCCTATGACAAAGCTCGCGCCAACGAAGCTCTTTGTCATATGGACAGGTAAACGTACCTGCGACCAGTTCCTGGGTGCAAGAGCGCAGCTGGATTGGTCACATGTGAAACCATCATGATGATTTTCTCAGTTTGTTCGAAACATTTTACTTTACTTTCTCTGAAATTCTGGAGATTGTGTAGTATACATGTCTTGTGCTTGGCTTGCAACATGTACGTCATCTACAGAGGACAGGCGGGTCAGTGGGAGCCATTCCAGTTGTGTGTTTTGTTGTTCGTGTTTGCTTCGCTAGGTTTTAGGGACTGAGCGCTGCTGACGCAGTCAACGAAGCCCGCTGAATCCGAAAAAATCTCTTCTCAAGCTTAAAGCCCCTTCTCAAATTCAATTTGAGAATTCTGAGTCCAGAATTCTTGAAGGGGGCTTCAAGCCTTCTCAAAACGCCTTCAAATCGAGCATACCTGCGAGAATCCGTCTCAGCTGGAGTGCATGGAAATGCGTGTTCTTCCGTCGCAACGCACCCGCTATTAAAAAAACAGGGAAGGGAGCAAACCGGCAGCACCAACGAAGCGCATCGCCGGCAAACGGCGAGCCGGCCGGTGGGGCAACAGTGGAAGGGCCGAGCTGAGACCCCGATCGCTCCCAGGTGCACCGGAACCTTCCGCCATTGATGCTGGTCACCCAGCGGCAAAGCGGTAGAGCTTATGATAAGCTTTTGATACATCTAGCAGGTGGTCCATTTGCATTTTTGATTGGGGGTTTGAAATAATTCAATTAATTGAAACCCCTTCAAGGGGGCTTGAGAAGGGCTTTCAAGCATCCTTCAAGAATTCTGGAATTCTCAAATTGAATCTGAGAGGATCGGAAGGGACTGGGGGCTTCTCTGAGGGCTTCTCAAGGAGGGCTTACGGGAGTTTGAGAGGGCGCTTCAAGGGGAGCTTGAGAAGGGGGTCTCCCAATTCTCGAAGGGGCTTTAAGCCCTTTTTCAGCCCCTTGAAGCTTCCTTTTTGTAATTCTTCTTTTTTCACTTTATTCTTCGCCAAGCATGAAGCGATTTCGTGTGGCTTCTCTTTGTTTGTTCATGAAAGCGTTTTGTTCGAACGCTTTTGATTTGTAACTCTTTTCTCTCATTTTAAGCCGTTCCTCTTCCTGAAAATCGCGTTTTGCGCCTGGGCCCGGTCCATGGCGACTTTTACACTGAGTATCAAGCAGGCGGTTTAACCTCTAGCTCCGCTACCGCTGCCTCGATGTCTAACCTCGTAAAGGGAAAGAGTGCGTGTTTCACCTCGAGTCTCAAGAGGGAACCCCATGGCACCAAGTAAAACCAGAGTGGTCTCACCTCTACATTTGGCAAGGGAACCCCCCTGGTCCTAAGTCAACGACCAGGAGAGAAAGTTTCACTTCGGGGCAGGTAGCACACAAAAAGGTGGCTTCGGCGTGAAACCTTTTGTCCGGCCGGGACCCCAGACTTCTCTTTACTTTTCGCGGCCCTCGGAAAAACAGTTCTTGACAATCAATCGAACCAAGATTGAACCTTGGGATGGAATCTGGGTTAAATCCGGGTTTTGCTTTTGCAAAACTTTTGCGGTTTTGTGCAAAAAAACTTTCGCAATTTACGAGTGTATGCTTTGGGCGGATAATCATTCATGATCAGCTTTTTTCTTTGCTTTACCTCTCTCTGTGTGGCTTTCTTCTCTGTCGTGAACACGTTTTTGTTCTTTGTTGCGGAAAGAGCGGGAAGTTTTGTCTCAAAAAAGAGACTTGGAAGTCATTCATTTGTGATAAATTCTAGTTTCTGGGCTTTCTAATCCACCGAAAATGTGTTTATGTAGCTTTCTCCTTTTGGCGTTTTGGACACCACATGAACGGCTCCGCAATCCGCAACGTGAGCATGCGTCGAATTAGCTCCATCGAGCACGCTGCAGACAAACCAAGAAGCGAGCACCGGAACACGCTCAAGCTGGACGCCGTAGCATCTGGTTCTTACAAGCAGGTTAGTGCTTGAAACTCAACAATTGGCGCTCCGTCTACACTGGCGCTGCCGGCACTGGCTTTGCCATAGCCGACGATCCGGAGCAGTAGTTTTCTCAACGACAAGCCAGTCTAAAGCAGCCCCATTGCTCACTGAGAGCATCATGGCTTGATCGGACTCCGCTTTGATGTTGAACTTGCATGCGGTCTTCACAATTTTGCGGTGTGGCGGTAAAAGCTTCTCGATCAGTTTCGTTGCTGCTTTGCTTTTGCTACAGCGATTTCGTTGCAGTGGAGTACAAAAAGGTTTTTTCGCAGAAGGACCGTCCATTCTAAGCATTACTATTACTAGTTACTAGTACTAGTACTATTACTATTCCTATTGTTATTGCGAAGCAGGGTTTGGGTTTAGGGTGGTGGAGTCGTCCGACGGCTCCTTCTTGGGCTGTTGTAGGATCGAATGCGCTGGGGCTTGCACGCTTGGAGAGTGTTAGAAACCCACAGAACCCAAAATCCCTTAATTAAGGAATATACCTTAAATAACAGGGCATTAATATTATGGTTCAAGGTACATTCCATAATTAAGGGATAATGGGTTCTCTGGGAAACAGATAGGGATTTCTGAGGTTCTGTCGATCTCTGCGATTTACATAATTTGATGATGACGAGGATGATGGCGACGACTGTTGCGATGACAGTGCTGATAATGCGATGGCCGTGGCAGAGCTAGGACGGTGACTCGTGACGATGGCTTTGACAGAAGTGGACACCCAGTTCCAACCGTAGTTCGACACTCAAGACGGTGAGTGTTGTCCCACTTATCGAACTTTCGGAAGCTGAAGCCACACAGTCTCCGCGCTGATCGTCCTTCTGTGTATTTGTGGGAGCCAGCTATCGTTTTCTTATTGATGTCTGGGTCCTGGGTTGAATGTTCCGAGACTATCATGTGCTTGATCCGTTAGCAAAATGCCCACCAACTCATCCGCCGGCAGAGGGATATGCTGGGCGGACGCACCAGGGCAGAAACTCGCATCACAAGCGATTGTCCGAAATTGCTGAAAGTTGCTCCGCTGCTTCTCTTCTCAAGCCACCCCAGGGTGTCAGTCTTGTAGATCTAACGAAGCAACTGTGGCCCACCACTTTGTTGGGTCATGATTTCCCCTGGCAAGTCCAGTGAATGGCTTGCTTGCTTTCTTTGCATCTTTACCCATGTCTCTTGGCAAGAAGCCGAAGGGTTTGAAGCTTTAGTTATTCAGCTAGCAGCTTCAGAATTGTGAAGCTGCAATTCAGAACTCACAGGTCGGTTGGTCCTACAAGCTTTCGAGCATCCCTCTCATGGACGATGGCAATGTGTCGGAGGAGGACAAACAGAACGTCACCGAGATTCTCACCAAGACCATGACAGCTGACATGAAGGACTTCCCCACTCCTTTCTGGACCCGCGGCCTCTAGAGAATCCCCCTACTCTTCTTTGGGTGCTCCTTCGTCTTGAGGACTTCGGCCGCTTGCCCGATCCGGAGGAGAAGGGCGAGAAGGGCGGGGGAATGGGCGAGCTCGGCAAGAGTTTGGAGTTTTTGATGCTCAAGGTCGCCCAGCGCGGAGATGCAGCAGGTGGAGCTCGCCATGCACCGTGCTTTCATTGAGGACCTGCAAAAGAAGGTGGATCCTGATCAAGCAGAAGCCTCGATGATACAGCAAACTTCGGACGACAGAGTGCAGGAAGCCCACGGCATCTTGAAAAGGGTGGTCCAGAAGCACGCACACCAGCGCCAGCACCGGGAGTACCATCCGGAGGTCCCGAAGAAGCATCCCGAGGAGGGCCCGGCGTCCACCTCCCCTCCTGGACACCAGAGGTCCCTGCTCCAGAGGCGAAATCGCGACACAGCGGGCCGCGGAATAATAAAAAGTATTGGAAGCGGCTTGAAGCAAGGCTACGACTATGCCAAAAAAACAGGCGGGAAAGTCTACAAAGGCTTGTCAGAACAGGCCTCCAGGCAAGTTGACAACGCTGTCAAAAGGCGAGGCTTGCCAAGAAGGGTAAGGCCTAAACTCTCAGCCTGAAACCCCGAAGTTATAGGTCATGTTGTGAATTCCGTAGAAGAGCAGTCCACAGCAGGGCCACGCAATCGCATAACCGAAGATCCTTAAGCTTAACTTCGTTGAATCTGTCAATTTTCCCTGAGCATTCAGTTATGGAAATGCAGGCTCGACCTTTGTTCCCTAAGCCCCACATCCTAAACCCTTAGGCCCTAAGCCTTAAGCCTTGAATCCAAGCCCCAAACCCTCGTAAACCCTAAACTCCTATCCGTGAGCCATTGAGCCCTGAAGCCCTAAATAAACCCCAAGCTTTTCACCGATTGCCCTGCAGCTTGGATGGCGATGGGCTCACCGGTGGGGCTCTGGCCGAAACCTACAGACAAGTCAAGGCAGCAGGGAATACCGCGCAGTTCATGGCCAACACTGCAATCTCCACCGTGGAGATGGCCGTGACGATCCTGACACAAGGCGGGGAGGGCCTTCTTAGGGGTTTAGGGGTTTGGATGTTATGATGGTTCGGGTTGATGGAACCACAGTTGGCTGGGATGGAAGCCCCTCATTTTTGAGAGGCTTCAGCGATTGGGATGCGGATTGCACGAATGCAATTCCAAGCATTGGCGTGGAAGGCTCCAACCTCTACGTCAACTTCGGTCACAACAGCTGCACGGTCTCCCTCATGAGTCAAAGAATCACTCTTTTCGACTGGAACTGGGGCAAGAAGACCGTACCCGTGGGCAACCTGCTGAACCTGATGCCTCAACAGCTTAAGAACCTGGCTGACGCTAACCTCGCCCCGAGTACTTTGCTGAACCTGATGCCTCAGCAGCTTCGGAACCTGGCTAACGCTAACCTCGCCCCGAGTGCTTCTTGCACCAATGTTGCTCCAACAATTGGCGTGGAAGGGAACGATATCTACGTCAACTTTGGGCACAATTCCTGCTCGGTCACCTTGATGGGTCGAACAACCTCGCTTTTCAATTGGAATTGGGGCAGGAAATCAGTCAACTTGCCCGTGCTGAGCATGCTGCCCGAACAGGTCAGGACCCTTGCCAACGCTCCCGTGGCCGTGATCAACTCGCAGATTACCTTTGCAACGGGAATCTCGAACTGCATCAATGCGGACCAACCTCTTGGCCTCATCGAGTGCCTCGGCTACAAGATCATTGAGCGAGTTCCCCCCCTGAGCTACCTGAACAAAATGAGCGACATCCTCACCGAGGCATGCAAGGGCGTCGTGTGTCGGGAGGGATGCTTGGGCTTGTCAGCACTCTGTAGAAGTGTGCAGAGTATTCGACGCTCGTGAGGTCATCGAGGTTTTCGCCAGGATCGCCGCTACAGTTGTGGAGAAGGCCATGGAGAAAGGCCCCTCCTTGGTGCAAGTGGCAGCCACAGGCAAGTTCCCTGCCGCTGGAGAGCCTGCCTTGCTGCACCACAAGACCAATAACCTCATCATCGAGTCGCACACAAGGCAGCTCCTCCCTCGAGAGATGGCCGCCATTCAAAAAGATGTCCGGCATTCAGAGGCTGGCGACGACCCCGACGGTGCTATCACCTTCGACATGGGCAGCAGCAACGATGTCCACGCCACAAAGCTTATCACCCAGTTCGAGGGCAGGGAGACGGACACCAGCTCTTGCCTGGCCTTTGCCCCCAAAAACCGGGCGGGGAGCGGCGTGAGCCAAGCCGATTGGAAGGTTGGCAACCAGAACGACTTCCTTCAGCTGGAACCTTGGGCCGTTCCCTGCGACAACACGTGGATGAAGGACAACTGGAACAGATGGCAAGGATACACGTTCTATACCCAACCATCGGCTGTCGAGAAGTGCGTGACCGTGACCTTCAATCTCGGAATGCAGCCCGTCGTGGCCTTCGTCGGGGGCTTGCAGTTTGAGATCTTGCCGGCACCTCTTTTCGAGCTGGCCACGACCGTCTGCTGGCCGAGCCAGCAACCGGGAGGAGTCGACTTGAGCGTGCTGCGCTCCGAGGTGAAGTCCGCGGGCATCCTGCTCTTCAGCCGCACCTTGCGCCTGACGAAGCGCTTCGGGGGCGGCACGGACTTCATTCCCTCGAACGCCCGTGGTGGCTACTCCACCTGGCGGAGCAGTGCAGGCATCGCTGAAGGGGAGACCACGGTGCCCAAGGACCAGATCAGCCGCACCTCCTTCCTGGAGACCAACCAGAACCAGAGCCAGGAAGAAGAGGAGGTGGAGGGGGAGGAAGGGGGCGAATCTCTGTGGAAGACGGACTCGGAGGACCTCTACCTGGCGTCCGTGGACTACGGCGAGAACCTGAACACCTCGGTGAACAAGACCTTCGAGGCCTACGGCCAGGAGGCTGCCATGAAGGCGGGGGAGGACGTCTTCAGGCTCTTCCGCTTCAGGAACCCCGGCCTGGTGAACTTCAAGGTCGAAGGTCTCATGAACGGCAACAGCCTGGAGCTGGGCATGGAGATGGGCTTCGGCCCCTACAAGAGCCCTCCAAGGAGGATCCCTTTGGTTAACATCGCCCACCAGTTCTCCATCATCCTCGCTGGCATCCCCTTCGTGTCCAGCCGAAGCAAGCTCAAGGCCAGAGGGCATTAGGGCTTTAGGGCCTTCAGGGCCTTGGAGGGGGTTTAGGGTTTGAGGGCGTTTGGATTTTAGGGTTTTTAGGGCTTCAGGGTTTCGGGTTTTAGGATGTCTTAAGGGAAGCAAGCTCAAGGCCATCGACGCGCTCCGGGATTTCTCCATGCAGGACGTCAGCAAGGCACAGGGCCTGCCCCTGAAGCCGGGATCCCTCGTGGCTGGCTCATAGTTTTTTTAGGTTTTTCAGGGTATGTAAACCAACTAAGGAAAAAGATGCAGATTTTTCATACAATAAAGGAATATGGGTGTACTTCTTGTTTTCATATTATCCCATGCATCGATGAGGTTGCCATCTACAGTCCTCACTGGCAACGCTTCTTGCACATCAACGGCGGTGCACACCTTGGGGTGACCGCGGAGATGAAGGGCCACGGCATCCCCGATCACTGGACCTGGGAGCGGTTCACTGTTGCTTGCCGGTTCTACTGAATGAATCCCTACACTTGTCCCAAAGGAAGAAAGTCCCCTTATAAAGTATGAAGGCTCCTAGAACCCATTCTCTCATTCCCTACTAAGCACCGGCCAGGTTGTGGACGCCGGGAACGGGGAGATCGCGTTGCATTGTGCCATTCACAACCGCTTCGTGGGCGTCGGTGGCGTGAGCCCAAAGCGGAATGTACATGAGTTGCCCCACGACTGGGGTTCTGAGCGTTTCACGGTGGTGGAGGCCGGCAATGGTGCGGTCGGCTTCTACAACAGGGCTCACAATAGGTTCTTGCAAATGACCGCACATGGTGCTGGACACAGTGATCATCCACCGAACCCTGGAAAGCTACCATCCGACTGGACCTGGCAGCACTTCCGCGTCGTGCCAGCTGAGAAACTCTTGGTTCCAGGTTCCACAATCGCTCTGCACAGCCAGATCCAGAATCACTACGTGACCATGCATGGGGGAAGCCTAGAGCGAAGTCCCGAAAGAACGGCCGAGGAAGTCCCCCCAGACTGGTGGACTTGGCAGCGGTTCACCGTGGTGGATGCAGGACATCGGCAGATTGCCTTGCACAACAGTATCCACAATCGCTTCGTAGGAGTCGGTGCCGTAAGCCCTCACAGGTTGGTGGATCAACTTCCTAGTGACTGGGCTTCCGAGAGGTGGGACGTGTGGCCAGCTGGCAATGGCCAAATCGTCCTTCACAACAGACACCACAACAAGATGCTTCGCATGTCAGGTCACACTGTGGATGCCAGTCATCCAAAGGATCCAAAGCAATTGCCAGACAATTGGACTCGGGAGCGTTTCCGAGTGGTGCATCTGAAGCCGTATCTTCAGCCGGGTGCCACCGTGGCCCTGCGCTGTCCACATCACGGCCGCTACATTATGATGTATGCAGGTGCGCCAAGCACCCTTCTTCTGGCCAGGGACAACCAGACTCAAAACGACACCTGGGTAGGTGGAGGAGGCTTCGGAAACATCCACAACCACATCAAGAACAGCCCCGCAGTTCCTCGGTAGCTGAGCAGGTAACCTTTAACCTTTTGGGGTCTGTATCACCCTACCATAATTGAAAAAAGGTTAACTCCTAAACCCTAAACCCCAAACCCTAAACCCCAAACCCTAAACCCTATACCTCTAAGGGCAGCCGCCTGCAGCAGCAGTTAGGAAAAAGGAATCAAAAAATACTCTACCCCAAACCCTAAAGCCCTAAACCCTAAACCCTATAAACCCTAAAAGCCCTAAAACTCTAAGGTTCAGCAGGTCAACGAGGCGGCCCGCAAAGCGCAGGAAGCAGCCGAGGCCGAAGCGGCCCGGCAGCGCGCCCTCTTGGGGAGTATCGGCCGAAGCCCTGAGAGGGGAGAGGAGGGCAGCTTGGATCCATAAATTGTTTTGTGTTTTTTTGTTTTTTATGGCTTTTTTTGGAGGGGCTTTATAGATGATCCTAGACCATGATTCGATTGCAGCCAGAGGGGATAGCCTTGATAGCCTTTTCGGGCTTAGATGATCCCGCCATGCTTCTAAAGGTTACCTAGTTTTGGGCGCCCTAAACTCCCCTGAACTTTAAACTTCAATCTCGACATCCCTAAACCCCCTAAGCTTCCCCAAAGCCCAAGGTTAGGCCTGTTTTGGGCCCCTCAGCCCCTGAAGCCCAAAGCCCGGAAGGTATTCCCGATGACTGGACCTGGGAGCGATTCACGGTTATTGACGCCGGGAATGGGCAGGTGGCCTAAAACCCTAAACCCTATAAGCCCTATAAATCCTAAACCCCTAAACCCCTGAAGCCCTAAATCCCTAAACCCTAAAGCCCCTAAAGCCCCTAAACCCCTAAAGCCCTAAAACCCTAAACCCCTAAATACACCCCTAAACCCCTAAACCCCTAACCCCTAGACCCTGGAATGGGCAGGTTGCCTTCCACAGCAGCATCCGCAACCGATACTTCGCAGCTCAGTAGGTGGCCTTGAGCCTTTGGAGCCTTTGGGGGCGCGTCGATGCTATTTTACGAGAACTTGTTGTAACGGTGAATTTTTTCGATTTCTTTTTGACGGGGGGATGGGCAGGGCGCTCGACCGATAAGGATACCTGAAGATGGATGGTGATCGGATGCTCGTCAGCTCCCCCAAAGCTCCCGACAGATTCCCCTCCGATTGGACGTACGAGCGCTTCACGGTTCTCTACGATGGTCTCGGGAAGTTCATGTTCCACAACTCGAAGCACAACCGCATGATCAGGATGACGGGTGAGAAGGTGGATGCGAGTTCTGAGATGAACCCGCAGGATGTTCCGGGTGGTTGGACGTCGGAGCGCTTCCAGATCGTGCCCGCAAGGCCTTACTTGCAGCCGGGGACCGTGGTGGCCCTCCATTGCGCTGTGCACAATCGCTATGTCTCCATGAGTGGGGCTGCACTCCAGCGGAGTGGGGAGAGGGGGGTAGACGACTTGCCTGGCGACTGGACATCGGAGCGCTTCACCGTGGTGGATGCCGGCAACGGTCAGGTCGCCTTCCACAACGCCGCCCACAACCGATTCCTGGAGATGAGGCCCCATGCAAAGATGGGATGCTCCAATCCCCACGCCGTGTCTGATCTGCAGGACTGGTGGACCTGGCAGCGCTTCACCGTCGTGCCTGCCGGTAACGGCCAGTTCGTGTTCCACAACACTCTCCACAATCGCATGATCCGGATGACCGACCACATCATGGATGCCAGCGGCGAGAAGTCTCCACAGGACCTGCCATCTGGCTGGACCTCGGAGCGCTTTCGCATCGTGCGGGTCTCCGAGGCCAGTGAGACAGCCCAAAATGTACGCGCGACCTTCGACTGAGCCGGCCGACTCGCCATCGACGATGCGAGCAGGACCAAAAGCAACCTCAGGTGACGTAGGGCCCTTCCAGGTTTCCTGAAAATCTGCAAATTTGGTTGCACTAGTTGAAACTCGAGCCGAGGCTGACTTTAACAGTTTCCCAGAGGGTGTATAACACACGCTCCATCGTGGAGCTGTTGCGGAGAGCCATGCGTCAAGAGATTCAGACGAGCCCGGGTTCAATTACCAAGTTGCTAAGGTCGCTGCCATGGCGACGTCGAACTTCCATCAAGAACCCAAGCACTATGTTCTCCTCCGCAGAGGCAAGTAAGTAGGTCATGGCATCCACATGTCATAGAAGTGCGCTGAGGCGATTTCCAGGTTGCTACCACGGGGTCATCAGTTTAGAAGGCCGCATTTGTGGAAACAACGGGATTATGTGGTGACATGTCGTGACGGTCTTGTGGTCACCGCAATCTTGTGTTGTATGTCCCAGTCTTGGCCCAAACTGAGTGGAGCAAGCGAGTTCATTCGCAAGTACGAGGCGGGGCGCTTTAAACTTGGATTTGTAATGTTGTGCGGCTAAGTTGTTTTGTGAGAAAGGGCTGTGAATAGAAGAAACAATCAAAATTTGAAAGTATCTTTGGGTCAGTTGTGACTGGACTTTCGACAGCCTGATGGCATTCTGCCCAAGGGCAAGACGCGCTGCAGCCTTAAATTGTGCTCAGATCATTGACGCCGGTTGTGCTTTTGGTCTGGCAGTTGCCCTTGTAAGGATTCCGAACCCTCTTCCCAAGTCTTGTGGGCCCCCCGAACCCCGCCTCACTTTCCCCGGGCCCGGCCTTCCAAACAGAGAGTCCTCCGCTGTGTAGTTTCGTAGATTCTCAGGCACGTCATCAGATTGTACTGGACTTCAGCTGGCTTGGCTGCATCATTGCTCCGCATTATTCGCTTCAAGAGTTCACTCTGAGGCACTGCTCGGCTATTTCTACCAGTTACACTGCCACCCTAAACCCTAAACCCCAAACCCTCAGAAGCCGGCTCCTGGGGTCAGCATTTTCGGACCAAGCCGCCCGGCCCCACTCGCACTGCGCGCCCTGCTGCTCTAGGAGGCGAGTCTCATGCCGGGTCACCTGTTTGTTCGGCGGTAGCAGTGGCCGTAATGGTAGCAGTTGCAGTCAGGCTTGCTTTCAGTGATATGGGTTTTGCAGAATGCCAGTGAGCGAGAGCAATAGCAGCAGCAGCAGCAGCAGGGGAGCAGGAGCGGTAGTTATGTTTCCAGCGTCCAAGCTGCTCCCTCTTTAGCTCATTTCAGGCATTCTGAAAGGGCGTTTAGATGATGGGCTTGGCGATTGGTTGCACGATGCAGTTTAGTAAAGTATGTGGAGTCTTCAGAACAAGTACCGTTGCCTGAGGTTTCACTCTTTCGGTTGCATTCTTCAGTTACTTCGGGTTCCAGCCCGTAACAAGCACTTGCAAATCGTGTCGGAGTTCACATGATTTTCTTCATCAGCGTGCAGCTACTCATTCGTTGTATGCCCGCATGCATATGCCTGTATACTGACTACAGCAATTAATTGCAGTATGGTGTTTGTGGCCCAGGGCTACCTGACTTCGACAATGAGTGCAAATGGCAACAAGGCTTGTGGGCTCAACCTCAGTGCTGGCGTTTCGCATGTCTCACTGCACTAGAAAGCAAAAGCAGAGAATTCCTGAAGCATTCCTGTGCTCTGTCAGACTGCAGCATGACGACGCGATCTTTACTGTCACAGTCTCCGTGTTATGTTGTCTCGGCGTTCTTCTGTTTGGCGCCTTAGACTTTAACTTTGTGGTCTTCTAAATGAACTATAGTAAGGAGGCTAAAAGTTTGACTTTTAGGAGGGGTTCAGAAGTCAGCCAAGTTGTAACATAACACCATAGCTTCGAAGCTGATGCAGAAAGTCTTGTGTAGACGTGTGGTTTGGAATGTTTCAGTGCTTTGTGGCAGGGCCAGCACCGTCCAAACGTGTCCACGAATGCGCACAACAAGGCAAGCGCCGATTCGCCTGCAGGGTGTCCCAAAGTGTTGTATCTTGCTTCGGTTCAGCATAGTTTTGTTCTCTGTGAAGTGAAAGTATGCTTGCGTGCAGTCTGTGACCGTATGGTTTATGGATTCATGGAGGTAGAGTGTGTTGGAGCAGCATCATGAACACTTTGGACATGTTGGACATGGGGATCACATCGACCCCGAGGCATGCAAGGTTTGTGAATGCGCAATTTGGTTTCCGGCTGGAATTTGCTTGTATTGTCCCTGTGCAGGAGCTGCGTCAAACTCCGCCACATCCGCCACAGGACTGCCTCCAAGTTTTGACGGAATTGAGGAGTCAGCTGAACTTGGGACATCTGGGAATTCCGTGACGTAGAGATCTTTCCTAGAGCTCCGCTTATGAAGCAGCAGGGCTACAAGATGGTGGAGAAGCTGACGTTCTCCTGCTACTGCATTCCTGGCGGCATCTACATGGAGTTTGTCGGTCTGATTGTGGACTCATGGGGTCGGGTCTCTGAATGTTGACAAACCCTCATTATTCTTATTATTGTTGTTGCGATATTGGTACTGTGAATATCATTATTACTGATGTTACTGTTATTAGTACTGTTACTACTTCATTATTATTGTTTCTTGTTATGCTTGCTATTATGATTACTAAGTTTTATTAATATTATTATCAAAGTACTTTTTAACTTGATTATTACTGTTCGAATTTTACCATTACTATTTCGATTACTATTGTTATGACATGCTATGACTATTGCCATTGTTGTTTCGATTACTATTGTTCTTAGTATCATTGTCGTTATGACGTTTGTCACTATTGTTTGTTCGTGTATTCTTATTCTTACTCTTCTTAATCTAACTATCATCAGTATAGGTCTTTTCAATCTTATTGCTGTTAATAATAGTATTCGCGCAATCTTCAGCATGGGCAGAGGGAGGGCCACTTTTTGCTTCTGCTGCCAGGACGTGCTCAACGACATTTTCCAAGCGGTCACGTTCTACCGAAATGGCGATACCCTCTTCTTCATGTTCTTTCTTTTCTTTGTAGTGGTGACGCTGTTTTATCAGGCTCGGAGGCTGTATGAAAAGCAGACCACGCCGTGCAAGGAGGTTCGCGAAAGCATCAGCCGTGGTGCACCAACGGAAACCTGGAGTTGGATCATGTTCCTGGAGCACACCATGGAAGCTCCGGCGACTGGGCTGATTGGTGCCTACGGCTTTTGCCTTGTCCCTCTGACACCGCTTACAGGAGCAAGTGCGCTTTATGGCCTCTACAGCTCCGCCAGTGCGATGGCCAAGGGCCGATTGGCCCAAGAGCTGTACTCCCATCGTCACCTGGCCGTGGAGGCACTGAAGGCAGTCCGACCAGGTTACGGACTAGATTCAGCATGGCTCTACGACAAGTACCTTCTCCTTGCCTGCGCGGCCGAGTTGGCGGCTTTCGCCATCGCCAGCCACGTTCTCCATCCAGCTGTGCCTCTGATCTTCTACGCTGTGGGAGCTGTCATCAACGTTTACGGAGCCGCACTGGCAGACGACGGGAAGCCTTTGCAGGTGCTGGAGTACTGTGTGAAGTCGCCCACGTTGGTGATGTTTGGGTTCCACACATACACCTTTCTGGCTCCAACAAGAAAATCCCCTAAGCGTGGCAAAGGCTGGCCTGAGGGCTTGTTCATCTTGTTTCGCTTTAGCGTCTCGACGTTGTACTGTTGCTTCTTGGATCTCCCCCATGGTATTGGGCTGAGTATTGGAGCTCTGAACAGGCCCATGGGACCCTCTGTCTTGCAGCAGGAGTTCGTTTCTCCGATGTTGCATGTGAAAGAGTGCGCGCTGACTTGGAATTGGTTTGCTTGCAACCCGACGGAAGTCTTCCGTGCGACACTCTTGGTCATGGTGTGCTTCCTTGTTCCGGTGCACTTTCTGACAACTGCTTCCCAGCTTCTTCGCAATCGAGTCTACAGCTGTGGTGAGCAAGATCAGGAACTCAAGGACAAGCTGAACAAGAAGCAGGGAGAGATCATTGCTTGGGCTGGCACGAAGACCGCACAAGCCAACGTGCCAGCGCCAGACAACAGCGCCGCGTCCGAAGCTGTAAAGTTATTGGACAACGTGGCGAACATCTGTTAGCAGATGTTTCCGGTGCAGAGCGACCTTGTCGGGGGACGGAGATCCTGTTATGTGCAGTGGATGTTCAGGGATTTTGGAGAACGGAGGTCCCCCAGGTCCTTGTCATTCTCTGCAAGCAGAGATTACCCATTCCTCCTCATTCACCTGCGACGTCTCAGCAAGGATTTAGGCTTTAGAGTTTGGGATAGAGGGTTTGGGGTTCTCAGAAACAGGAACGCGATGAGCACAGATCGACGATCAATATCTGAGTACACGAAAAGATGCTAACGACAGAAGAAACCGCAGCAGAAACTTTGAGACATTGCCTTCTGTTTGACGGTTCCAGAGAGGCATTATGGAATTTCAGGCTTCGTGATCACTGCTCATGCAGATTCCCGTCGCTAGACGAGTGTCGCCGACGGAAACCAGAGCTGCGACTACCTTTGTGTGCAGCGGCTCTGGCGTGCGGCAGCTTCCAAACGAAGGGGTTGGTTCGAGTACTATTATTGTTTTTTGTAATTTTTATTATCAGTATTACTGTGATTATTGTTAATTTTGTGATTTCATTATTGTTAGTATTGTTATTATTAATATCATCGTTTTTATTATCGTTCTCATGAATCTCAACAACATTGTCATTGCTATACTATTTTGCAGCATATAGTTTAAGATGAGACAAGGGCTGGCCATAGCAGAAGGGTGAGTGGAGAAGCGAACCGCCCTCTGGCCTGGAACTCGTGCGCGATGTGCATTTTTGGTTGCCCCTGATGCGTTTTGAGGGCACTCCAAGAATTAAACACTAAAACATATTGGGGAAACATATTTTCTCCCCAATATATTTGGCACTCCAAGATGTTTTAAGCAACTCGTTGCCAGCCGCTTGGAGAAGTGCTGGTGCTCCCGAGGGTTCCAAGTAGCTGTTTTGATCCAGGAGAGAAGCAGCCTCCTTTCAACGACAAACAACAGGGGCACCCCTGTTTTCAGAAAGCAGCTCAAAACCTTTCCACCTAGATAGCTTAGATCCTCCGGGCAGCACCCGCTTACAGAGATGGAGGTTTCAAGAGGTCTTACTTGTGGCAGCCAAGCGCTGCAGACCTGCTGCAGTGCTTGCATCCGTCGTGGCGCGGTTCCACGAACCACGCCAAGAATGGATTCTCAGTAGCCAAAAAGGAGGCGCCCCAATTGCATCCCATGCCGTTGTCTGGATATCGCTTCCACTGTGTCATTGTTGCTGCTGGGCCAGCGATTTATAATTTACACAAATTACAACATACTTTTCGTATGTTATAGTATATCATACGTAGCATACCATACTCATTGTAGTATATCATAATAGATCATAGTATGAACCTTTCTCGTGTTAGCTGCTTTTGCTGAGGTTGGACGGCGGCTGCAAGACAACCGGAGTGCAGGCCTCGGATTTGGGCACTCTCCTCCCCTGGCTACTTGTCCACGGGCCCTCGCATGTCACCCCTGCTCGTTGGGTGCAACTCTTGCGCGAGTCCTGGCAAGTTCTCATCGTGGAAGTTCTTGAGGCACAGCTGTCTGTCGACTGCCACCGCAGTCTTATTCCATCTTTGTTAAAGCCCTCCGTTAGTTTTGTTTAATTGGCGGTGCTGACACTGCACTAGTCCCAACTGTATGCCGGCCACCGTCCTCTCGTCCCTGCTGTCTTTGATGGAGAACTCTAGGACTTTCGACTGGAGGACTGCCCTGCATGCACGAAGTTTATGCTTTCAACGTAGGGCTGCGGGTCACTCCCACGGCATCGCGACCAACTGCAAGCAGAGTGTCTGAATCCAGGCGTGAGAGACTCATTCGCCGGCCGACGTTTGGGCCTCCGAAAATTCGGCGAGCGAGGTATTTGAGCCTGGCATTCCAAGGACCGAATAGGAATTGCCATCAGAAGCCAGACTGAATACCGAATACCTATATATATATATGTATATATGTGTGTATATATATATATACATATTATCTGCCATTCCTTACATGGTTCCTGATTATAAGTATACTATATAGACTCCGTAGGGTTTCGATCTTGCGTTTGGTGAATATTTCTTAGTCGCCATGCTGAGCTCTCACAAGCTCTTGTTGGGTGAAGCCCGAAACCTTAAACCCTACTGCAAACCTTCGACTGCATTCGAAGATTGAATCCGAGGAAGATCCGGGCTCTATCACTGGGTTCTGCGATTATAGTGCCTTAGGGCCGTTTTTCCCCTCAAACCTAAACCCTTCCCTAAACCCTTATTGTACTTGGGATGTGATTGTGTAGGGTGTTGGGAGTCCTATACCCTGGCTTTGAGCGAGTCTTGAGGATTTTTGCACGACGGTTCCGCAGCATGAGTCAATGAGGCTGAAGTTCATGAAACCGCCCCGAAACCACGGCATGTAAACCCCAACCCCAGACCAATCAAACCTCGATTCAAACAGCCTAAGTAGTACATCACACCAAAACCCCCTTAGAACCATATTAAACCCTTAAAGGAGCCCTTAAAGTAGCCTTGTCGTGTCCTGCGCTTCGACAACGCCCTGGCTTTGGAGGCTGGCTGCAGCTAAGGCTGTGATGAGGGTAGGTTTAGGGTTTGGGGGTTTAGGGGTATTAGCTAGGAGCAAAAGCCCACATAGAAGCCGACCAGCACTCACACACATGGACTTTCAGAACATGAGCTATCCCGACATAGATCTCTGAAAGAGTAAGGTCATTGTCATCAAGAGGAAACCTGCGCTTCCTAGAAACCCGACATGCAGCAATCCAGATCCCCGCAAGCTAACGATGTCGATCGCTCCAGATAGACATCTTGGGTTCCAATTTCTACACTAGATAATTTGTGGTTGTGTGTGGGGGGGTGGCCGGCAGATGGGCAGAGAAGCTCGAAGCCTGTCAAGGCCACGTGGCTGTTGTAAAGAAGCCACTACACGTACATACATACATACATACAGACGATGTATATACGTACATACATACTTAAGGCATACATACCTACGAACGTGCATGCATACATATATCCATTACGTACATGTACACACCCACATACATATGCAGACACACATGCATACATGCATGCTTGCATGCATGCATGCATGCATGCAAGAGTGCATGATAGTGTATGCATGCATGCATGCATACACAGATACATACATGCATACATACACAGATACTTACATTCATTGCGCTGCACTGCATTTCATTGCGTTGCATTAGTACATACATACCTGCACAAGTACCCATATTCTCACATTCACGCGCACACACGCACACTCACACATCTACCCACATATGTATGTCTACATGGTATGTATATACATGTATTTGTATATATATATATATAAACATGTATGTAGAGTGAATAGACATGTCTGATTATGTGAATAGACATAGATACAGTTTATAAATTATATATGTATGTCTTTATTTACAGAGGTATAGACAAAGATAGAGAGAAAAAATATACAGATAGATCGATACACACATAAATACATGTATACATGCAAAATAATCTTATGCGCCTATTTACAGATATGTACGTACACATGCAGATACATGTACATGTACGTATACATAGAAGTTATACATGTGCGCAGAAGTAGATAGGTAGAAAGCTACACGGATACCTAATCCGGTGGCCGCTCGCGAGCGCTGAGTTCCACATACGCCGGTGAATCCCTATATCTGGTAGAGGGTTTAGGATCCCTAAATGGTTTACGGTTTAGGATCCCTGGTCCCTCTCGTGTTTAGGGTTTCTTAAGATCCCCATACTTAGAGGATCATGGGACTTAGTAACTAGGGTGATAAGTACCTTACTTGGGGTTAGAAGTAGATATGACTATAGTTACCTTGCTCAAAACCCTGCTTACTAAGTCCCCTGATCCTCCAAGTAGTGTTTAGGGTTTAGGATCCCTCTCGTGTTTAAGGTTTCTTAAGATCCGCATCGTGTTTAGGGTTTAGGATCCCCAAGGTGTTCCCTAAACCCAAGCCCTAAACCCAGGGTTTGGGGTTTGCGGAGGCTTCTTACAGCTTCAGCCCTGGGGCGGATCCAGAGCATGTTCGAGGCCGGACCGGATGCCTTCAAGGGTTCCCTAAAAGGGTTCCAGGGCTCCCTAAGGGCTACTATAAGGGTTGAGGGGTTTAGGTTTTAGGGGTTTGGGTTTTAGGATGTTTAGGGCTGAGGGCAGAGTCTCAGAGTTGTATGTTTTGGTTTGCGTGTAACCGGAAAGTGGGCCACAGATTTTCTGATGCAATTGGTTCTGGGAAGAATGCATTTCACACCCAGCACAATGTAGCATTGTCGCACTCTTTGCTCCGGTGGTCAGCCAAACTGTCTTAAAGCCTCAAGCCCCGATCTGTCTAAACCCGTAAACCGTAGACACTAGCACTACAGGTTCGGGGTTGAAAGTCAAAGGTATAGGCCCACTGTTTGGGTTTACCTAATGTGTAGAACCCAGAGTGTCGGATAAGCCGAAAGCCCAAAACCTCTAAACCCTAAACCCCTCAACCACTAAACCCTTAAACCACCAAACCCCTAAGCACCTAAACCCTATATCCTAAACCCTAAACCCCCAAACCCTGAACCCCTAAGCCTTGAACCCTCACCGGAATTTGACAGGAGTCTCCTTTGCCGTCTCTGGCTGGCCACACAGGTTCGGAGTAACATGCGATCTTTCAAGGGTTCCATTAAAGGTAGTGTTTGATTCCATACGGTTATCTTTATGAGTAGTAGAGAGTTCAAAAGAAAGGGCGCCTTTAAGGGTACCGTCTTTCTTACATAGGGTTACCGATACCTTTCATGGTACTATAGTAGAGTTCCTGAATCGGCTCAGGGGTCTGACTACAAACTGCAGCGGAGGTTGGGGCTTGAAGAAACACCCCCCCAAACTGGGTGCACCAAATGAAGTGTGCCAGATGAGAAGGCTGCTAAGCTGTACAAAGCCCGGCATGCTTTGCAAAGCCAGAATTTCTGTAGTAGCCTTGCAGAGACTCGACCTTGAACCTGAACGAATTTAAGGCCGGTTCGGTATTT